TTCAGCAAACATTCTCTGTACATTTTTTTTGTTTCTAAACTTTCATTTGAATAAAAAACATAAAAAAGAAAGAAAACATACTATTACTGTAGTCATTAGATATTGTTGTTGTTTTTGTCAAATGCCTTTGAGTCGAGCACAACTCATAGTGACCCTATGAACAAAAGGTCTGAAGCCTTTCTATAACTATTGACATTTGCCAAAGTTCATAGTTTCCAGAAGTATGTTGTTTAGGAAGTGGATGCCACTCCTACTTCCAAGCCTGTCTTAAACTAGGAGCTCCACCAAACACTGTCTACCATGGGTAACTGTTATGGCATTTGACAACCCACTGGCACAAGGTTCAGCATCATAGTAACCCCAAGTTACCTCAGTACAGCATATTGACAGAAGATGCTGTACCACTAAGAAAAATATTCCAGAAAAATGTAGTAACAACCAACTTTAAATACAAAGGCCCTCCCTGAGGTCTTGTTGACTCTAAACAAGAGGATTAGATAAATCAAACAAACAAACGAAAAATATAGTATGTTATTGTTGTTATGTGCCATTGATTTACCTGTGATGCACAGCTGCTCTGAATCCTTCCCTGTCCTGAGCCAGTCTCACTAATTTCGACACACAACAGATACTGTATCAATCCATCTCATCCAGTGTCATCCTCTCCTGTGCTGTCTGTCCACCCTTCCAAGCATAATGTGCTTCTCCAAGAACCTGGTCACATGCCCAAAGTAAGAGAGGTGGAGCTTCAAAATCCTAGCCTCTAAGGAGAAAACACTTAATTTCACCCTCTTCAATTCGGAATGATTTGTTTTCTTGGCAGTCCATGGTATGTTCAAGATTCTGTTCTTCTGTCATCTTCAGTCATTGTTCAATTCTCTGAAGCATAACAAGTAATTGAGAAGACTATGGCCTGGATTAGTCACACCTTTGTATCCAGACTGACAGTGCTGCTCTTCAGCACTTTGGAAAGGTCCATGACAACACATTTTCCCAGTACAATTTATCTTTTGATTTCCTGACTGGTGGTATTAAGAGTGTTGATTGTGGATTCAAACAAGCTAAAATTGTTAACAACCTCAGTGTCTTTTTCCATTTATTATGTTGCTCCCAATTGGCCCAGTGGTGAGAATATTTGTCTTCTTGATGTTGAGCTTCAATTTATATTGAAGATTACAATGACCTTTTGCAGCAAGTGCTTCAGGTCTTCTTCAGTTTCACCAACAAAGTTGTGTTATCTATATAAAGTAGGTTGTTAAGAAAGCCATGCTTCCTGAATGATCTGTTCCGCATACAGATTGAAAAGTTATGGGGACAGGATGCATACCTGGTGCACTCCTTTCCTGATTTTAAACCATGCAGTGTTTACTTGCTCTATTTCATGTGAGCATGATCTAGTGCTCTGAGATTGCCATTTTCTTTAAAGTTAATCATGATTTGTTGTGATCCCACAGTCAAAAGCCTTTGCATAGTCAGTGAAACACAGTTAGACATTCTCTGGTACTTTTGCTTTCTGCCAAGATCCATCTAACATTGGAAATAATGTCCCTAGTGCCACGACCTCTTCTAAACCCAGCTTGTATTTCTGGTAATTCTCTGTCAATGTACTGTTTCAGTTTTTTCTGGATAATCTTCAATAGGATTTTGCTAGTGTGTGATATTATTTGATAATCTCCACCCTCTGTTGGACTTTTTTTTTTTTTTTGAATGGGAATAAACATGGTTCTCTTCCATTCAGATGGCCAAGTAGTTGTCCTCCAGATTTTTTAGGACAAGTTGGTGAGCATAGGCAGGGCGGCATCTGTTTGCTGAAATATGTCAATGGGTATTCCATCAATTCCTGGGGCTTTATTTTTTTGCCAAGTCCTTCAGAGCAACCTGCACTTCCTACTTCATCACCTTTGCCTATTGATCATATGTTGTTTCTTGAAATTCTTCTGTGTTAGCCAATTCCTTTTGGTACAATGGCTCTGTATACTGCTTCCATATTCTTTTAATGCTTCCTGAATTATTCAATATTCTGCCCATAGCCTCCTTAAGCATTGCAACTCATGGCTTGAATTTATTCTTTAGTAGTTTCAGCTTAAGAAATGGTGAGTGAGTTTGGCCCTTTTGATTTTCTGACTCTAGCTTCCGGCACATTTCTTTAAAGTATTTTGTCTTTTTTCCCTAGCAGCCCTTTGATATCTTCTATTCAGCTCCTTAACTTCTTGATTACTGTCCTTTGCCTTGGCTTCTTGGTGGTCTAGGTCAATATTCAGAGACTCTTGTGACATCCCTTTTGGTCTTTTCTTCTTCCTTCTTAATAATGACTTTTTGCCTTCTTCGTGAACAATATTCTTGATATCTTCCCACAGCTTATCTGGTTTTCATTCATTAGTGTTCAAGGCCTCAAACCTATTCTTGAGTTACTTTTTAAATTCATAGGAGATAGATTGAAGGATAAATTTGATTCCTATGGATATGATTTAACCATCTTTAGTTTTAATTTGAACTTGCATATGAGCAGTTGGTGGTCTGTTCCACAATCAGCACCTGGCTTAGTTTTCACTGCTGATACTGAACTTCTTCAATGGTTCCTTCCACAGATGTAATTCATTTGGTTACTGTGCATACCATCAGGTGAAATCCATATGTATAGCCTGTGTTTATGTTTCTTATAAAAGATATTTGCTATGATAAATCATTGACTGTACAGGCTTCTATCATTCTGTCACCAGCCTCATTTCTGTCACCAAGTCCATATTTTCTGACTACTGATTTCCAACTTTTGCATTCCAGTCACATGTTATTATTAATGCATCTTGGTTATATGTTCAATTGATTTCTGACTGCAACAGTTTATAAAAATAATCTATTTCCTCCTCTTTGGCTCTGGTTGCAGGTGCATAAATTTGTATGATAGTAGTATTAACAGATCTTCCTTGTATGTGAATGGATATTATCCTGTCACTCACAATATTGTGTTTCAAGATGGATCTACATATGACCTTTTTAACTAGGAAAGTGATCCATTTTTTCTCACCTTTTCACCTCTAGCAGAATAGATCATATGATCTTGGGATTCAAAATGTCCCTTGCCAATCCATGTTTATGCATTCCATTTCTTTCTTTACAATGTTCAGTTTTCCTGCATTCGGGCTTCTCACATTCCATGTATCAGTTGTTAATTTTTCTTACAGCTATTTCTCTTCCTTTGTTTTACCAAATTTGAGGGCTCAATTTCAGTTGGTATATCTGTTCGTCTATTCTAAGTGTGTACTCTTGTGCATAGGATTTTCAAAGGAGTGTTATATTTCAGAAGTGGATGGCCAATCCTTCTTCCTAGTCTGCCTTAATTTGGATGCTCAGTGTTAGAATTTCTGACAGACAAGCATTTTTCCCTTATAGAAATAACCAATGCATTCAGTGTGCCCAACCTACGTCCTGTCTCCCAAGCACTTGTGACTTGTCTCTACCCTTTCCCTGCTACATCCTTATTCCTTGCACACCCTGCTATCTGGTCAAGCCCTCCCTTCCCCAGCCACCTCTTAATATGATCACTAGTCACTTCTGTGATGTCTTGCACTAGATACTACTACTGGTCTTTCATGCTGTTGTCCATGTCTTTTTTAGGAGGATGTTAAGACCAAATCCCATGTATTTGCTTGGGGCCCTTGAGCTTCTGCTATGTACTGTGACCTACTAACACAATGTGATAATTCCAAGGTCAGGACAGGTCTCTTCTAAATCTGATACCATGGTGGTATTTATTTGGCCAGAGGGCCTTTGGACCTTGGGCTCAAAGGAACTTTGAGACAGAAGATATCTTTTCCTGAAAGATGAGTTACAGCAAACCTATGTAGAACAAATAAAACACTGCCTACTCCTACACCATTATTACAATCATTGCTATTTGTGAGCTCGTTGTTATAGGCATCAAATCAATAAATCTCCTTGAGAGCTGATTTCTTTTTTGTTGATTGTTCTTCTCCAGGGGCTAGTCCCTTCTGATAATAAGTCCAAAGAGCAAATTCTTGCCATCTGGCTTCTAAAGGTTGTTTTGGATGTACATTTTTCAAGATAGATTTGCTCAGACTTTCTATAGAAGCCACAACATTCAAGAAATCATATGACATATTCCTTTGGACAAATCTGTTGTAAAAGAGCCCTTTAAAGTGCTAGAAATTAAAGAGACTGCTCTGAAGATTTTCTTATGCCTGACTCATGCCATGGTATTTTCAACTGCCCACTTTGTATGTGAAAACTTGACAAAGACTAAGGAAGACTGAAAAATTAATGCCTTAAAGAAGAAATAATGTCTCTGTGTTCTTAAGGCAGGTCTTTAAAGGTCAGTGTTTTGCCAAGTAGATTGTAAAGGGGACTGATTGCTCCATTGTTTTTACTTTTATGTCTTGAATTAACTCAATAAAATTGATAGACTCTTTTATTTGTATAAAGTATATTCTGATGTGTGTACCAATAATAGAAACAAAACTGGGACCCAAACTCTAATATTTGAGATAATCTACATCATTCATTTAGGAGATGGTTCCTACTTTTTACTTAGTCTCTTCCTATGCACTCAGTGAGACTCCATCCTCAAATTTCTTTTCTGTTACAGTCCATAATATCTTCTCTGCTAAGTTGTTTAGCTACAATGAGGGAAGGAATTGATCTACAGATTTTAAGCAGTTCTTTATACACCTTTTTTAATCACATAATTAAAAATCTACTTCCAATGCCAACCTTTCTTACACAGAGGGACTAATGAATTTTAACAGTTAGACAACACACCATTGACTACAGCAATAGAGCTCTGGCTTCCAAGTAGAGGAAAGTCAGTAGTCAAAGCCATTTCCATTGAGTCAGGAATTGACTCATAGCTTACCTTCTAGTGGCTTTTTGGATGCTATAAATTGTGTGAAAGGAGACTGCCCATCTTTCTTCCATGGGACCACTGTGTATCCAAACCACCAGAGAGATACAGCCTTTGGGTTTGCAGTGCAACACTCTATGGCTTATGCCACGAGAAACTGAAAAAGAGAAAAAAAGAAAGAAAAAAATTTCAAACATTTTATTCTTCTCTGTATTTCCATTATCTTGACTCTGAATTTATGTGCACTGAGTAATAGAAAAATTGAGTAAACAAATAAGAGTTATACAACTTAAACCTATGTTGTGACTACTTGTTGATTTGATGTTATGCCCATATGTATTTAGAGGAATCTACAGCTTTAAGTGGAAGTGTCGATTGTAATATAGCTGACTAAACAATAGAGAAGTTTATGGAATATAAGACTTCTTAGTGACTTCAGATTATACCATGGGGAGCAATTCACTGAATATGCTCCAAGTTAATTTTACTCATGACAGCTATAATGCTTAAAACTAAATAATTATCCTATTTCAAATCTTGTCAACAAAAAATAAATGTATATCTTAAATAGATTTCTTTTCAGTAAGGGAAAAGCCATCTTTATTAACATTTAATTTTTTTCTCCAATTGGGGAAAATAACAGAAGATGAGAAGACCATATAATTAATCTGCAGAATGAATTTAATGAGTTAGAAATCCAGAAGGAAGAAATTAGAAGGCAAATTTAAAGTATTATAAAATATTAGCTTTCCCCCTTTACACTTCTTGTTATTTTTAATTAAAATTTAAAGGTGTCACATTAAGGTCAACAGTCTGAGCTCTACGAACACTTCAGTTTTTATTCAACATTGGGATCCTTATTCTTCTACTATAACTAAAAGTTGGAATTGCACAAGGTTTTTTGTTTACAATCAAACGGTTTATTCTAACAGTCTTTTATGAATATTCATGATATGACACGGCTTATCATAGATACTCTTAAAAGATAGTGTTATATGTATGTTAGAAAGCATGTTACATGACTGTTATATGTTCTGCTGCAGACTGAAAGATTAATAGCTTGAATCTGTCAGGTGCTGTGAATACGAAAGATGAAAAGTTTTCTCTCATAAAGAAAACAAAAGGAGGGTTGCTTAAGTTGGAATTAACCTGAAGGTAGTGGGGCTATTCTAAAAGAAGTTCAGATGTCAGAGTGGTTAATATCTATACTGGCAACTGAACAGTGGGTAATTCAAACCCATCATCAGCTGTTCCATAGAAATCACTCCATTTCCATTGTTGGGTAGCTTTGTTTTGTCTTGTAGGACAGTCATTAGCTGAAATCGACTTGATGACAATTTTTAAGATTGTTAATAGTATTGTTAGTAAAATAATTTCATCCACTATAATAGAAATTTCTAGTACTTGAATAGGGAGGAGGTATATATTTCTAACAGAAAGGTAGAATATCCATTAAAGACGATGTTACATATGATATAAATGTGTATTGTGTGAGATAGGATGCTTGCAAAATGCCAGGCAGGAAGTTAAAATATGAAGTAAGAGAAGATTGATAATTATATTAGTCCTCAATTTTCTGCAGCCATGAACTGGGCAAGGTCCTTGATAATCTCCTCCCCCCCCCATATCTTTTATCCTAATCTACTGGCCCAGCTTCAGTCAGAACTCATGACCCTTTGCCTCTTTAGAGTCTGTACTGAAGTGTTATTTACTTGGTGCTGACTTATAGAAACTCTATGTACCACAGAATGAAAACAGGCAAAACACTTGTTGCTTTGTTTGAGTTTGTTGGTGTAACCACTCTGTCAATCTAACTAGCGGAGCATACTCCTCTTTTCCACTGAGCCTTTACTTTACCATGTATGATGTCCTTCAGGGGTGGGTACATTTTCATTGCTGATGTCAGATTAGTCTAGGCTGAAAGTAGAAAATACCAAAACAGATGTTTACTTTTGTTTTCTTGTCTATGAAAAGGCATTTAAGTGTATGGATCATAACAAATTATAGACAATATTGAGAACAATGGGAGTCCTAGAGTACTTAACTGTGCTCATGTGAAACCTCTGCATAGACCAAAACACTGTTGTCTGAACAGAACAAAAGAGCACTGCACAGTTTAAGATTAAAGAAGATAGGCATTGATGTGTTATTTCTCCATTTCTGTCCAATCTGTATGCGGAGCAAATAATTCAAGAAGTTGGACTATATGAAGAAGAATGTGGTATCAGGATTGGAGGGAGATTAATAAACAACTTTTTTATGCAAGTGACACAATTTGCTTGTTTAAAACTAACAGGATTTGATCACTTACTGCAGAATTTCTAAGACTTCAATAAATGTGACATCCAACTTCAAGAAAATAAAAAGCCTTACCACAGAACCAAAAAGCAACACTTAAGTGGAGGGAGGGAAGGGAGTTATCAATGACTTCATTTTGTGTGGATCCACAGTCCACATCCAAAACAGCAGTAATCTAGAAATCAGAAAACAGCTTTACTGAGAATATCTGCAGCCAAGGACATCTTTAATGTATTCAAGAGCAAGGATATCAGATTTTTTGTTGAGTTTGTTTTGGTTTTTTGTTTGTTTGTTTGTTTGAAACAACACTTTGTTACTCTTACACATTCTTGCTCTGCCCCCTCCCCTTTTTCCTCATTCATCAATCACAAGGATACAATATGTTCTTGTCTGAATGGAATTGCTTCCAGAGTTGCTTGATTATCAGTAAGTAAATAATAAAGGTTATTCTAGTTTTGTTGTTCTCATTTTATAGCAATTCTAAGCAGTGTGTATTATGCACAGCACAGAGGTAGGAAAGATTACCTTTAATAATTATCTTCTAAATTTTAGAATTTCTGAAAACAAATCTGCCATGCCTTTGATGGGTGTCAAAGGAACATTGATCCATCTCCTCCTACTAAAAGAAGTCATTCTCTGGCATGCTGAATCCTTTGGAGGGTACTTGATATCAGGATCGACCAGGGCTCTGAACAACTACCCTAAGAAGGCCTTTCTCCACATTCACTTACCAATTCGTTGGACACCACCACCACCCCCCTGCCTTCCTACTGGGAGAGTGGGCTGTGATTGTTCTGTTTCACCCATAGGGAAAAGTAGCAGTTGTGGAAGGTATGATTATATTCTCTCAAGATCACAACAAAATCCTCTTGTTTGTTTTCAACTTGACCTCTAAGGCAGACATCCATTATTTGGAACCTACAGATGACATATATATCACATTCTACCTCCCAACTCCACATATATATGCCAATAGAATATTTCTATCAGCTTTTGTAGTCTGAACCATTTGAACATGCAATCAAGATTTAGGAATGATAATTGATGACTGGAAGGTAAGAGCTAGGAACAAGTTAAGAGCTAGGAACAAGTAAGAAGGACTAGTAGAAAATACAGACTTGGTGACAGAAAAGAGGTTGAACATAGAATGGTAGAATTTTGTACAATAAATATTGATTCATTACAAATACCTTTTATTAAAAAGTATTAGTAATGACTATCCACATGGACCTCATATAACAGAGATGTATCCTGTCTCTATAACTTTTCAATTTATATGTAGACCAGATCATTAAGGAAGCTGGAATTCATGAAGAATGCAATATCAGGATTGGAGGAAGATTCATCAACAATTTGCAATATGTAGATGACACAACCTTGATAATTAAAACTGAGGAGGATTTGAAGTGTTTGCTACAGAAAGTTAATAATCACAGCCTTCAATATGGATTGCATCTGAACATCAAGAAAACAAAGATCCTCACCATCAGGACAATAGACAGCATCACGATATTTGGGGAAAAGTTTGAGGTTGTTGACAATTTTATCTTGTTTGGATGCACAATCAATATCCTTGGATACACCAGTCAGAAAATAAAAAGACAAGTTGAACTACGAAAAATCTGCTGTCAAAAACCTCTCGAGTGCTAAGAAGCAACAATGTCTTTCTGTAGAAGTGTGCCTCATCCAGGCCATAGTCTTATTAATTGCTTGCTATGCATCTAGGCTGGGCAATGACTAAGAATGAGAGAAGAGTAAATGACTTTGAGTTGTGATGCTGGAAAGAGTGTTAAACATACCACAGACTGGCAAGAGAACAGATATGTCTGTCTTGGAAAGGATGTAACCCAGGTTGCTCCTTGGAGGTGTGAGGTTTAAAAGTTCCAGCTCATATATTTTGAGCATATCATGCTTGGAAGTGTAAAGTGTCAGCACAGGAGAACAACCCAGATGAGATGGATTGTTGCAGACTGTGGCAATGGGGTCATGTGTGTCAGAGGCGATGAAGTTGACTCAGGATAGAGCAAGGTTCAGAGCTATTGTTTATAGGGAGACTATTAGTCACCTCAACCCTCAACAGTACATAGTAACAATAGTGTCATTCGATATATTTTTTCAGTAACATTGTTGGATTCTTATTGTATCACTATCTATCAGACATTCATACTTCATTGTTTAAAGCAAGACAAAAACTAGATACCTGGCAAACACATTATGAAAGAATAATATTCAGGGTTCAGGAAACAGAAACGTTTTTCTGTGAATAGATTATTTCTAAAAAAAAAAATGATAGCTGGATGTGATCATCACTATTTTAAAGAACTAACTTGATCCTGATGAGAATGATTTCAGAAATTTGCAATCACTAAGACAGTGGAAATAAAAATGAGGTAATTTAAAAAAAAACAAATGAAGAAAATGGTTATATCTTCCTGACACAGTCTGAATGGTGATGGGTTTCATTATGTCTGGTCCATGTTATGTAAAACAAAACTTCAAAACCCACATAACAAATGGTTATAGTAAAAAGGAAACTATGGATGTGGAAAGCCTGATTTAGTAAAAAAGTCTTCTACTCAAGCTAAATAAAGAAGGATGACTGGATTTACCTATAGCCAGAACTCCTCAGGGAAAAGAGACTAATATTTTGCCTGTCCCATTGTTAGCAGAAACTTCAGACATGGTGCACAATTTTAATGATCCTTGTAATGTAATATAACATCATAACACAAAACTATTTTCTCTAAAATCAATGGAATATTTTCTTCTATTTCTTAATATGTTCAGCCAGGTAAAATGTTTACAAGTGATGGAATATTGTTAGATATGGCCATCTTATGAAGAGTTTTGATGGCTTTC